TGTTAAATCTCTCGTTACAGCATATCACGCAATAATAATTATGTCAGCGTAAATTTATTATTCTGATTATTTCGCACTTTTAATTATTCCGTATTTTTCAACTTAACTTTTAAAATATATTATATTCGACGCGCGGTATCGCTCGTTATTAATTTTTAATTTATTCCAAATAATAATTTCGCACTATCAGCTTTTACGGTACGGTGACATTTCTCATCGGTAATCGAACGACTAAAATACGCACTGTATAATAAAACGCTCTGTGAGCGTTGAGGTTGTACATTTACTCACTTGATTACATTGCATTCGTGGCCGCAATTATTTAAACAATGTTTAACAATTTAACAGAATGTCCGATAAATTACTACGGTTCGGGAACGACGAACCGAGGAAAGAAGAAAATATTCCAATTCGTGAACAATCGTCCTCTGTCCATAAACAAGAATATTGTGTGATAATTTTAAATATTAATTAAATTATAAACTTTAATTTGTATTCCAACCGAAACGTAGATCATCTTCCACCTTAACGCCAATACAAGGCCCAATGTCTTTCCCATTTACACAATCATGCTAATTGCTTCTTATTTCACAGAGGAACAATTTCACGTCCATCCGAAACGCGATTATTTTTCCTTTCCAACGGTTTTTGTTTCAAGTCGCTACGACGTCTGGAAGCGGAGTTATCGACGCGTGCATCGATCCGCGCTCTCGATCGGCGCGGCGGCGTGCCGCTGTGGGGTAGATCAGGCGCGGCGCGCATTTGGATGTAAAACAATAGTCGCATTCCGCAGGCTAGTTTCTCAGAAGCCATTTTCGCATTGTACGTGACGGCATGCTGCAGCATGCGGCATACAGCGAGCGCGGCCTTGCCCCATTCCGCGACCTTGTCCCCACTTTGCGGCCCAGACGAGCATGGCTGCCGCGTCACTGAGAGCGACAAGTGCAGGATGAAAACACAGCGCGCTAGCATGTACGAGAGTAAGCGGCAGCGCTCGGCTCGGCGCACAGTGTTGCAGAAATCGCTAAACGTGGCCAAAATAAGAAAAAATAAAAAGCGAAATTTTCGGCTCCCGTTTTTAATATATTTTTAATTTTAGTTTCTAATTTATTTTCTAAAAGGTCCAAATTAATAAGTTGTAGTAACATTTTGATGAAATCCAATTGTATCATGAAGATAAGTGAATTCAAATGTACACGTGATGCGAAGTACAGAATAACTGGGTTATACCTCCAAATGATATAACTGATTTTGCGTTGAAACAATTTTTTATCATGAAAATGATGTTCCCTGTCTAATATCTTATCTGTGTAGTTTTATTTCCAATAAAGAGTATATTAGAAAGTTATAAGTATATACAATAAAAATTAGATTTACAAGACTCACTTTTAATATACAATTAATCACTTATATCGTGATATATAAAAAATGCATCATTCGCACCATGTTGTAACTTTGTGAAAATAAAGATAAAATATCTATTAATTCTTTCTATTTATTCTTATGCAAATTATAGAAAGAGCGATATCCAGCGCTTACAAAAATATGATAAATTTATGAGCAGAGTTTGACATTCAGTGCGCTTACGGTCAGACGCTGTCTATTGCAGATAATATTGTTCAACACAAAAATTATATCCTCTATCAAAATTCTTTATTCTAGTTAATTTTGCTAATGTTAACTACAAATATAATAATTAACGATAATGTTTATATGTTTTAATATACAATTAATCACTTATATCGTGATATATAAAAAATGCATCATTCGCACCATGTTGTAACTTTGTGAAAATAAAGATAAAATATCTATTAATTCTTTCTATTTATTCTTATGCAAATTATAGAAAGAGCGATATCCAGCGCTTACAAAAATATGATAAATTTATGAGCAGAGTTTGACATTCAGTGCGCTTACGGTCAGACGCTGTCTATTGCAGATAATATTGTTCAACACAAAAATTATATCCTCTATCAAAATTCTTTATTCTAGTTAATTTTGCTAATGTTAACTACAAATATAATAATTAACGATAATGTTTAAGCTCTAATTAAATAATGTAGTAAACAATAGTAAAAATAAAGACTGTAGAGTTATGAGAGAGTATCATACAAGAAAAAACTCGAGAATTGCGACGAATGAAGATTTATTTAAAAAACTTCTTTCCTCAGATCCCATCATTTTGTCTTTAAAAAAAGTTTCAGATAAAAAGGCCGATCCCTTCCCTAAAGAAGTTATTGAATTGCTTGCAAATCCAATTGTAGCAAATATAGTTTCGGGCGATGAATAGTTACATTAAATATTTTGTTTAGTTATATGAAGTAAAAAGCAGAGGATAAAAACTAAAAAAGAAAATAAAAACAAAAAATAAAAAAACAAAAAAATAAAAAAACCAAAAAGTTAAAAATAAAATAATAAAATTAGAAAACATGTTATTTTAGTGATAAAGTACTATTATTTACAATATAGTATGCTTTTCATTCAACTATAGTACATTATAGCGACAATTAATTTATGACCACTATTTGGAGATTTCGCAACACTGTGCGGCGAATCGAAACCTGTCAGCGCCACGGCTTTAAATGACTGTAACTCGCTAATGAGTCGACGTAGCGATGTGAAACAAAAAGAAAACTCTTTGTCACGCGTTCTCGTACGCGGCTATGCCGCTGTTTTATCGTTAATTTGGCAGAATCGAGCGTTGTGACTGATGAAAGCACGACAAGCATGCCTGGAGGAGCAACACATAGCCTTTCATTCGCGCTGAAATCGTTTAAAGATTCCTTTGTTTGTCTCGTTTACTGCAACAATGACGAGATTGATGCAAATTAAAGGAGATACCGAAAGGGAGTAATCTATATTATACAACATATATTCTTGATATTTGTAAATTACGTTGCTTTATAGAGTGTTTATATTTTAGTAAGAGATTTTACGAGCTTTTCTGAGATAAAATCTATCAATAAGTTCAATTTTGCTTTTATGAAAAAAATCAAACAAATATATATATTTCCCTCCGTATTTTTAAAATAATATAGGGTAAAACAAAATCGTCTTGCTTTCGTTAAGCTCGTCATTTGACACGAATCTTTCTCATAAACATAATGCAAACTTATTATATGCAGTAGGTTTGAAAATTTTTGAACAAGTTCTCACGATAACATGGTGTTTCTCTCTTCCTTTTTTTCCAGATAAATGAAAATGCATTTCGCATCGGCGAGCTCAGACGTTTCGCGCGAGTTACGAGCGTGCCTTTTTTATAGCGCAAAATACGCCATCGCTCGGGCGTAGGAATGGTCTTCCTTTTATTAGGATATAGATTCACGCGAGGTGATTTATGACGGCGGCGGTTCCGTTGCTGGCGCGCGCTCACGTGACGCAGGATGAAAATATCCCCGCGCATGATTCGCGATACATCAATTTTATGCAGAACGCATCGATCGATTCGCCTTTCAATTTTCATGTAAATTTCGCGGCGATCACGTGTCCCTGTCGCTTTCTCTTGTTCTCCCGACGCTTGTTCCAGCTCGAGATCGCTATGATGTATAGGACCCAACGGACGGACAACGCGAGCATCGATGCGATTGTGTAGCAACCGTCGCGCTGTATCTCTCGCGAAGGACAAGTGAGATAGAATATTTGTCTGTCACCATTTCGTTTATGTTCTGCAAATATCATGGAGCCCAACTGCGACGGACTCTTTATGCAACGAAGCATTCGTGGTTGTTTCGAAAATTTTTCCTGCGTTCCCTAAATTGTTCTCATCCTCGTACACTCTGGATAATAATCGATAATAATCGAATTAGTCGGCCGCAGGTTTAGAAAGCGGTAGTAATGAGTCGATATCCTGCCGCGGAAAATGTGGGGCGAGTTATCGTTCGCTGAAGCGAAGCAAGAAAATCCAACGTCACGACCGAGTGTCTTGATTTATCGAAATATATCGAGTACAGACGTTCTATGGGACGTTTCGAAGGAAATAGGAGGATACGTTAGTTCGGCGAGCGGCCGTCACTGATAATTGAAACCGTTAATGAAATCTTAGGGTAAGCTTCGCGGCTAAATGAGTTTTTAGAAATCGCGAGAGGATAAAATTTTCGTGATGTTGTTCTTCCTGTCGTTTTCCTAATGTGATACGTACGATGTTCGCATCGTGAAATCCTCGAGTCTTTATGATCTTAAATTTTATCTTATGGAATTTTGGGACTTTGGAAATTTAGGAAATTCTAACAGACTCCCTGTCCAGACTCCGATTGTCACGTATTTCGTAAAGGCAAGTTGTAAGAGGAAACTTGCAGCGTGATCCTTCTTTCTGTGTCGGCAGTCATATCACTGCTTGACTTTGTGCGTAATTATCAGTCGACGGCGCAATTATACGCAGGCGATTGTATTTGAAATGATGTATTCACGCGATCCGTGACACGGGCGATATTCAGCTGTCAGCAGAAAGTTCGGCGGGGGACGAATTTATCGATAAGTCGGCTCCCGAGCTTTCGCTTCGATCTAATTTGCAGATCGCATGCTAAAAGGAAATTACGTCGTTTGAAGGGTGAGCGCGGAAGGTTGCGAGTGCGGAGAATTTATAGTTACTCTAATATCGAAAACTAACTGTGTGAATAGTTTGCAAGAGGAGGGAGCGGGCAGAGGGGGGTGATATAAATTCCGGGGCTAATCCCGCGCTCCCGCTTCTCGCGAACAAACTCCGGCGACAATTTTTCCGCCGATGTAAATCAGAGATCCTCGAAGGGTACTCTCTCCACCAGCACCCGAAAAAAGCTCCTTAAATGCAATTAAAAAATTACCATCGCCGCGGACGGTGAGATATCGCCAAATAGTCACGCTCGAATGGAAATTTTACCGTTTACTCTCAGTTTGCAATCGGTGCGATAGAGTTTTCGCAGAAAATGATGATGAAGCCAAATGATCAAAAACGGCATAGGGAGGGAGGGGCGAACAAATCTCTTTGCGATATGATGATCAGTAGAATTCGTTTCCTATTCCAGGTCAAAAGAATCTACAGAGGCATCCAGTCATGGTGTTCATTCACGGCGAGAGTTACGTGTGGAATAGCGGCAATCTTTACGACGGCACCATACTGGCGGCTTACGGCAACGTTGTCTTCGTCACGATTAATTTTCGACTCGGCATTTTGGGTAAGAAACACACGCTTGATCGATTTCCGACCGACTTTTCACGGTCTCGGAGAGATAAGAAAATCGCCGCAGCATCGACGTCGCGTTCCTTTTATCGTCCCTCTAAGCCCACATTCTCAGGAGGACGAGCGGAGGGCGAGCGTTATCGATCGATCTATCATGCAGAAAAGTACTAACGTTTAATACGGTTTTACTGCGGCCCCGTATAAATAACTTCGTTACGGCTCGTCGTTTTGCAAGGCTGCCCCGCAAGCTTCTTATCTAAATTTTTATCGCCCCGAGCGCTTTTCAATATTGAACTTCGCCTTCGAAGAATGCTCGCCGAAGCCGAACGATACAAGGCGGTCGACTTAGTACGCCGGCGGAAGTGTAAGCGGCGCCCTCTGCTGTCTCAGCTCGAACGCAAATTATTTTGCGCTTCGAAGAAACGCACATTCCCGGCAAAGTTCAAAGAGAAGATAAGACTGTGACCCAATTCGCAATTGCTCGGATCGCCTGAATGCAGGATATTCAATTGTACTTCCGACTCGGCCGTTGTTCATTCGGCGATCTTAGAGAAAATTGCCTCCTCTTTGTTGTAACCGCTGTGGAACAGCGTGGAGCTCTCTCTGTACCTCGTTAGTTAAGAGGGCACTCGTTGCTACTGCAACGTTCTACATGTAAAAAATAGTCATACGGGCGATTTAACAACAATGAGGCCGCGCGCGTCGGAGAGAGATCCCGGCTATTTGCTATGAAAAAAAAAAGAAAAGGGCCAAATACCGTCCCGCGAATCGCGCGTACACCTTTCTCATCGCCGGATAAAAATGCGACCGACGCGGTAATAAGACATATTTCATCGGCGCAGTGGCCACATGCGAGAACGTCATTACTCAGAAAGTCTGCTTAAAACTGCCATTTAGTAGCGTGTCGCGGCCGCGGCAACTGCAATCCGAAATTGCTGTGCACAGTGGTTGTCCTAAAGAGGCTAACAGCGAAATTCCGGCAATCCTTTCTCGCGAGATGACAACGACGCGCGATGCAAATGGACGACATGCCGCGCGCGCGTCGGCGCGGCTGCGGGGTACACTCGGTATATCTGATAAGTGGAGTGGTTCGCGGGGGAAAAAAAGGAGGCGGACGCGAAACCATAATCATAAATTAGGTTAAAGTGCTGGGGAAGCGCTTAGTAACCCCGACCCGCTCTAGGCGGCCAGAGTTAGCCCGTGAAGAGTCCGCGGGTAACTCCAACTCATCCTGCCGCCGCCGCCACCGCCGCCGCCGCCGCCGCCATGTCTGCCCTGTGCAAAACAAGGCAGAAATATAGTCCCGAGCGCGAAGCGGCTGCCGAGCGAAAAGAACAACGCCGATCGCGTTACCGCGCACGAGAAAGTACTTCATGCTTAAGCACGAGGGGAGAAATTTCGCATCTCCGCGGAGCTCATTAATAGAGACATCGAATACGCACGCACGAGTCCCCGCTGATCGTGGGGAATCCCCGGTTGTGTTCCGGGCTGCTCGGTAAGAAAGAAACGCGCGAGGAAGACCCGCCTCGGTACTTTTAGTTTCGCGAGCGACTGCCGTGAAGTTGTCATCCTTGAATTAGGGTTTACTTCTTGCTCACATACTCTCGAAGAACTGCTGGATTCTCCCGAACACGCCGGTTCGAAACTACTTGAACTTTCGGAATTTTTGCCGATCAGAATGCGCCCGAACTTGACGTTCACCTCACTTCTCGTGTTCTCAAATTGTCGGAGAGAGAGAGGGAGAGAGAGAGAGGGAGAGAGAGAGAGAGAGGGAGAGAGAGAGAGAGAGAGAGAGAGAGAGAGAGAGAGAGAGAGAGAGAGAGAGAGAGAGAGAGAGAGAGAGAGAGAGAGTGAGAAGGGGGGAGGGAACGAAGGAACGAACGAGAAACGACCAAGTTTCAAGATCCCTTTTATTAAGTTCTGAGTTTTCTGCAGAGTCTTGAGTTTTCCCGAATTGTATTTAACGCCGAGAGTACGTAATTGCTTTAGATACCGTGTTTGTTTAATAATGAAAACTTGTCGCTCTTGTCGCTCAGGCTTCCTGAGACCTGGGATTAGGGACGACGCAGCGAGCAACTTTGGACTGTTGGATCAAATAGCGGCTTTGCTTTGGCTAAAAGAAAACATTGCGGAGTTCGGGGGCGACCCTAACAGTGTCACTTTGGTCAGCCACGGGACTGGGGCCATCTTCGCTAATCTACTCTTAATCAGCCCAGTCGCCAATAAAAAAGGTAAAGAGCACACATACACACACATGTACAATCCAATTCGACGTAACCTGTCCCAAGAGCGAGCCAGCATTTCGCACGATTCATTCCCCATTCTCTGCGTTATCGGTAATCGGCTTGCCTGTTCATTCCTGTCGGTCGTTTTAGAAAGAGGAAAGAAAAAAAAAGCAGGATCTTTCCGAAACACGAACGTCTACTATTCGGGACGATTTTTCATATTCGGCCGGAAGAATCGAAAGACGGCGCATAATCCAGGCTAATCCTTCCGCTTACTGTAATTGGAAACATTATCCGCAGTTATGTGAGAGGGTGAACAGCGATCGCATGCAGAGATCACGATTTCCGAGGCGGCGGGAGATAATCGTGGGATTAATTGAACGAATCAGGGCGAGAGAGATAGGCATATGCGCATTTGCATCAAACGCAATGCACCACTGTTGCACGGTGGTGACAATGTACAGTGTGCTCTTGAACCTATGATTCATTGGTCCTTGAAGAACTCCTGGAATTAGCCCGCAAGCGGGAAATTAGCCCGCTGCTTCTTCCCACAACTTTTAATCCCGCGCTGAAATGTCTTATTTCAATTCGTGAGAAGAAAGTTTCAGTCGTGGAACTTTCAACAGAGAAAAATTGTCAAATGCCTGAGATTGGGTAGTTAATTTAATTTGCTCAGTTGGAAACGTTTCTGCTTTTTTCCTTTTTCCCTTTTTTTTTTTCTTTAAGTAAACGGATTGATGATAGCGATCAGGTCACGAAAGAGAGAGAGAGAGAGAGAGAGAGAGAGAGAGAGAGAGAGAGAGAGAGAGAGAGAGAGAGAGAGAGAGAGAGAGAGAGAGAGAGCATTCTCTCACGTGATGATAAAATTACAACAAGTTCAAGATTCTCTATAGCCGTTCTCTATAGCCGCGTTTCGGCAATTATTGGATTGTCACATCGTCGCCACCGAATGGCCCCATCTGTCTGAGCTTCAATCATTCCTTTCAAATTTTTCCTCGGTCGAATCGCGAGCGCCTGCATTGTGATATTTTCGAGTTTGACAAGGGGTTAAGAATCACTAGTCTACACGTGTTCCACGGTGTGTGCACACATCGACCGTGAGCACTCAAGCACTCTCGGGTATCCGCTGGCGCTCCGGCAGGGGCAGTGAGAACGGGCGAAAGCAAGAAAGAAGACGTCGACCATTTTTCACCCGGTCGGCCCGCAATGGCGGCCGGGAAAAGGAGCTTTTCTCTTCCGGCCGAGCGCACAATGCCGCCGCGTCCGGCCAATAATTATATTGTGCAATGAAAAATAACCGGACTTAATATTTTACACGTCGAGACAGGTGCCTGCCCATGCCATGCGGAGGTTCTCAAGCACCGGTGCCATTTTATATTTGCGCCAATGGAGCCGCGCTTCTCCTGCGTCCGTTGCAATCGGGATTAGGAAATGGCCAATACAATATTTTCCGTTATCAAGGAAACGCTCTCGCCGTGATGAATCGTACGTTCCTCTCAAGAACGTTTCATCGATTTTTCAAATCTTAACTCGAGCGCAATTTAAGGATTATCTCAAATTTATAATTACACAGGCGCAGACATTTTTTATTCATGCACCAGGCAACGCGAAGGCGATCAATTTTAACTCGCAGGTCCTTTGTCCCTTATCGCTCGAGAAAGTTTGAGAACTGCTGGACCGTATCGAATAGCTAAGTTATTAATCACCTGTCGCACCCCCATTTTGTTGGCGCAGGTTTGTTCCAACGAGCTATCCTGATGTCCGGGTCGGCGATGAGCGCAGATGCCATCGGTAAGGCGCCCTTGCAGATAACCAAACAGGTAAAAGAAGGCGCCATTGCGTGATAATAGTCGCGAATAAAAACGTGAGATGAGGATTGATGCGTTTGAATTCTCGTTTCGCCGAATGACAATTGAATCACTGCGGCATCTATTACTATTAATCCCGCAGTTGATCCTCGCTTTTCGCGTATTTTATTTATTTTTGATTTTTGCTTTGTCTACACACTCAGTGTCTCAAAACTCCGGATCTCTTCGGGTCCAGATTTGCCGATATTTCCTATTTGAATTACGGATTTTCAAAGCGTCAGTCTCACTCTCCATTACGAGGAGCGACAGATTCCATATTTATAAACTCCAAAATTATAAATTGCAAAGTTTTCGGATATGTATTTTTCCGAAATGTAATTTCGGCTTTCTGAATTCATGCAGATCCGTAGATTGCCTCATAGATTTGCCTCTTTCCTCATATTTTGTCGTTCCAACTCTCGATCTCCAAATGCGTTCACATTTTCATCGAATGTCGCATTCGGAAAGCTTCGATTTTACGGCTGTTTAAATTTCCAATGTCCGTCGGAATTCCCATATATCCACATTTACGGCGAATTCCGCGAGTTTCGTTATAACGGGAAGCCCAGCGTTTATCACGCTTTTTATTTCCTACGCGGCGACGTATGTTTCACAAACGGCGGCGTCGTGTTTCTGCGCTGCTTGCAATTTGAATTCGACGGAAAGAAATATCGTTGCTCGTCACGGCGAAGGAACGTTACACAGTTACATCGATGCCGTGGTGGAATGAGGCTCGCGAGCGAGTGGGCGGGCGAGGGGGAGGGGGGGGGTTGAGGGTTGGCCGCGTTCATTGCGCTCGTGAGCAATGGCGAGGGTCGTTTTTCAGGTGGCGCACGCTCTCAACTGTCCCACCACCAGCGACAGTGAGCTGGCTGGATGCTTGCGCAACCAGGACGTAGACACGTTGCTACGCGTGAAAATCCACAAGCCGAAATACGTGCCGGCTTACGCGCCGCTAATCGACCGCGCCGTTATCCCGGACAAGCCGTTCAATTTAATGGAGGACGTCAAACTCTTTGGCAGGTACGATTTGGAGCTTCCTCTGCCGCGCGCTCGCAGACAATGTCGCTCGGCCCGATCCCGTATAGTCTTTCCAATCTCGAACGGCGTTTGCCGAGGGCGTGTTGCGCTGAATTGCGCGAAAGCGACTCGCATACGTGGTAATTTGCACGTCGAGGAATCCGCGTCGGGACGTACGCTCCGACGTGTGCTCCTGTTAGACTTAACGAGTTGTGAGCGCGTAATTGTTCGCACACGCGCACGCATACACACACACACACACACACACACACACACATACATATGAGCTGTTTCCTTTTCTTTCAAGGTTCGATCTGATGTACGGTGTGACAGAATCCGAGAAATTTCACATCCTGCCACCAGTTGCTTTGTTGCACGGTATGCTTGACGGACAGAGGGACGAAATCTTGCGAGACCATGCCAAAGTAAATTTCCTTATCTTGCGAATTGCGCTTCTCCCCCCTCCCATCCTCTATCGACCCCGCGGAGAATCCTCTCGTTCTTATATCTTTACCTTCGATTTATCTTCCCATCTGCCTACGCTCCAGTTCCGGTTCTTTGGAGATTGCTTCAACAACTCCTCTCCCCCCACTCACCGCTTGTAATTCTTGTCTTCAATTCCAATTATGTTTAATAATAACGAACACTGCGATAGTCGCACCCTAATTAAAGGGGCGAACTAAGAGCTTGTACTGTCAGAGCTCGGAACGTTTTTGCACCTACAGTGACTCTGAATTTCCGCACGACGACATTTTTCTGTATCGAGAACGTGTCCTCAGGCGACGCACGAACTGGAGCCGGACCTGATACTGTCGAAAGTGCTGGAGCAATACGGCGATTTTTCGAGCGGATTCACCGACGAGTACGCCACGAAGAATCGGGACATGGTGCTGGAGGCGCTATCCGACAGCGGCACCGTGGCGCCGTTAATAATGACTGCCAATTTGCATTCAAGGGCGAACCCGAAGAGCTACATGTACGTCTTCTCGCATCCGAAAGCTATGCAAGACTATTCTGGCGTAAGTAGGTCTCCGATACAACGAAGATCGATTATCGCGCGACTCAGACGCCTCTCGACAAAGCGGAACCCGACATGGCACGAGAAAAATGTTGCGCGGCGCGTCAATAGACGGGGAAGGGTATAAAGAAGAAGAAGAAGAAGAAGAAGAAGAGGAAGAAAAAGAGAAAGAGAAGGAGGAGGAGGAGGAGGAGGAGGAGGAGGAGGAAGAAGAAGGAAAAGAAGCGGGCGGGCATGATGAGTTAAAGCGCGCTCTCCTTTCAATGCCTCTCCACTTTGTGTTGCATTCGTGCAACGTTGTTGTTATTCTCTGATCCCGGAGCGTTGCTTCCGAACGGAACGAACGCATTTTTAATAGCCGCGCTTTGTATCTCGGACTAGGAAATCCGCTTGTTTTCACTCGCGAGCCGCGCGGGGGAAGACGGAGAGAGAGCCCGCGTTGGGTTTTCACTCTGCTAATTTTAAATTCGCTGAAATTTCAGCCGCACAGGCGAGATCTTTATCTATGCCGAAACGCGGCGTACAGATATACAGTGACAACAGCCTAATTAAAGCTCCCAATAGGAAAGTAGATTAACAAACTGCCGTGCGAAAGAACACGGTGGGATTTTTCGGTTAGCCTTGCATAGTTAGCGGCATATATCTGTCTGTAACCCTCGGTTTCTTAGGTCAGGAGAGACGAGTTGTGACCCAGTACGGGCCATTGTTTTCACCCACAGTCGCCGGGAGAAAAATCCAGGCTGCGAACCCATTTGGATTTCGGCCAACTATTTTTATCGCCATTGCGTGCGCACGCCGGCGGAGCTCGTTGCGCAGTAACCGAGAATATCGCTAAATTGAATGCAACCCCGCGTGCGACGCCGTCGCCGTGTCAACAAGAATATTAGATTCGAAATCTGCAAATGGCGATTCTGCCAGTGTACATCATTTTCACGTCAACTTGGGGGTCTTCCACTCTCTCTCTCTCTCTCTCTCTCGTCTCTCTCGTCTCTCTCGCCCCCCTGCCTTCCCCTTGCTCTTTCTCGTTTCCTCTTTCTCTCGTTCGGAGCGCGCGCGTACGCGGTTCCGATGAATGTTAATTTCAGTTCCCGCCCTCGTAAATTCCAACCTTTATTGAAATTCACAAATTGACACGTTTGTAAATACACTCGGTTTATCGCGCTAAAAATAATTATGGCCGTGATAAATCCGAGAAATTGGCGCTCACAGCAAAATTCGCTCGTAAACGTTCGATGGATTTGACGAAGGGGGAGGCCTGCTTGCAATTAAACTACAAATCAAATTCAGTCTAACGAGAACAAAAATACAATTGTAAAATAATTTGAAATAGATGGAAATCTGTAGTCATCTCATAATTAAGAACGCAGGTCTTTGTGTCTGGAAATGAACTCGAGACAATTCACTTTTTGTTCTCATTAAAAGTACGCAAATATTTTAACTCGATAATACAAGTGGATGATATATAATTGCATATTAAAGTTAGAATTTGTAACAAATATGTCGATCAAGAAGTCGCAAGAACCTATACACATACGTATGAAATAAGCTCCAGTAGCAGACGATGTTGACAAGAAATATTAGAATAATGACGTTAGAGGCCGGAGCACGAGTGTGTACGGGGGATGGAGGCGATGAAAGGGGGTAACAACCCGAGTTTCGATATTCTCGAGTTATGCAAATGGTACCAAAGTGTCGATAAAATCCGCGCATCGGTATAAAAGCACATCCAGCAATCTCGTTATGTTGCAGCAACAACATCTGCGTACCGTGCACGGCGAAGAGCTACCCTACATACTGGGTGTCCCATTGGACGACTTGCGAGGTCGATATAGCATGAGTGAGACACTATTTTCGGAAGCGATTATGAACTGGTGGTGCAGCTTTGCCTACATCGGGTGAGTTGTTAAAAAAAGAGGTTCTTAGCGACTCTCCGCTTTATCATGCTTTATGCACTGACCCGACGATTTTAAATTGTGGGAAAAATCTAAAATACAAAAGAGCTCAATACAGAAAAGCGATTGAATACTGAGGCTGGGACAGTCTCTGAGAAACTTTAAATCAAGCTTTCGTAATTAAAACTGAGAGTTCTTTAATTCGTTCCCGAGATTTATACGAGTGGCTAAAAGAAAATTGTATTTCCCCATTAACTCTCGAGAAATTGACTTTCTACCTTGATACAACGAAAATTGCAACCTTATTATGGATATAAATAACAACGTAAATTAAGAAACTTTCTTAATTTGAAGATCTATTTGGAACTTGACAAGCGGGGAATTTATTTAAAGACGGGCTTCTTCCTCGCGTTGTTTTTATTTTCACATTCCGGGTTTTAAACGATGTAAAAAACAGCTTGTTAATTGTGATATATAAATAAAATTTACATTCGGAATCGCTGGTAATTGAGAGCCTGACAAGAAAAACCGTATAAATAAACAAATAAATATTTGAAAATATAACACTCGCATCACATATTAAAGTTGAGTTAAAGTTGATAGAAAAAGCGGGCGGCAGCATGAGTGGCGGCAACTGCGTAGAAACAATCGCATTTAATAAACAAGTGGCAAACAATTGTTGTTGGGCATTGACGCGAAAATTCACAGTTACGAAAGTTGCGGCAGACTCTGCGACGGAGTGACGTACTGGGAACGCGCGTATCCGCGTAAACGTGATTTTCAATTAACTAAACGTCCAGGTGTTTCATCAAACACAATGGTAATGTACCATTTTTGTTTGTTGCACACAAACGCAACTAGGCTTAATAAACACGTCAATTAAAAAATGTATGTTCCAAATGAATCTTTCGTTTTTCGAAATAAACTAGTGTGGGCAGATAAATCAATTCGGAAGTGGAATTAAAAATAACATTCCAGAAGAAATATTTATGTGCATAATTATATAGTGCATAATTATGTAGTTATATGCATAATTATACGTACTGCATGTACATATTTAAACAGTATCTTTTCATGCAAAAAGCGCGCAAAATTAACAAAAAACACAACATAAATTTGCGCGTAATGGTTAAAATCAATTTGTGCTATTCATTCAAAATAAATTACAATTTGAAGCATAAAAAACGAGTGAGCGCGGAAAAGTAAATTTAAATGCAGACGAATTCGCAACACTATTTAAAAACGACACATTACGCTGCTTTTAACCGGGGCAAAGACCGGGCGTTGTTATCCTAAACACTAGAGTGGTGCGTTTTAATAATTAAACATAATAATGCCGGAAAAACTACAAAAGACTACATTTGCTGACTATAACATAATTTCATTCTTTACCATAAATAAACAGGAAAGCGCAGAATTTATGACTATCTAGCGTAGATAGCCGCTAGATAGTTTATCATAAATTCTCGTTAAAATAAGTTGCCACATTTTTTATCCCTCAGTTTGTGTGTGTGTGTGTGTGTGTGTGTGTGTGTGTGAATGTGTGCGCGCGCGCGCACACTCGGCCGCGTACTCGGCTTTCAGTCTTGAATTAACTCGACGCAATTTGATGCTTGTTATGCTGATGCTCGATATTGTCGAATTAACGATCCGGCGAATCGGCCGTTTTAATTTACGCGATGAAAGCAGATTACCAACCCGCCCCGAATTATTTCGACATTTCATTTCAGCCGGCAAAATATTTCATTTTATACGGCTGGATAAGCTCAATGTTCCCGCGCTATAAAACCACGTTTAGTTTCAAAGAAGATCGAATTTATAATTATATTATAAATTGATATCGAAACCTATTTGCAGCACGTCGATAGCGGCCTTTGAACTTTTTTCTACCCGCCTAAATCAGAAATATTTGCACCTTCTATCAATTTGCAACACAGTAATATTAGGATGTCACATGTTCGTTTAGAGCATAAAAGATTATTCATTTCAACAAACCAGTTCAATTCCCGCCAGAACAACGTCTATTCAATAATTTTTGTATTTTTGTATTTTGTATTTTAGAAAAATATTAAATATATAAAAATATTATTTTATAATATTTAACCTTGTGCGATGTTTGTTGACCCTGAATCGTTAAATTTTCAATACCTTAAAAATTTGCAGATTTGAGAGTGCACTAAAATATTACTTACTACGTTCGGTTCGTTAAATTTTCCTGAAAAAATGGTAGAAAATTTTTTAGATTCCCGGTTGTATTAAAAATTCATTACGGTATTGCCGGGCGCGGGACTACATTTTGCAACGTGGTCTCGCAATTTTTTGGTCAGATATCGAGACTTTGAGACTAGATCGATCCCATCGATGCATATGGTACGACTAGGACATGCATATGCATCACTACAGGACGACAGAACTCAGAGAGAACTGGGTCGGCGCAATTAAGCAAAACAAAGGTATTTAGCGGTAAATGTCATGCGTTTGTAAGCGCCGCACAGCCGATCGATATTTTGTGCGTTACCGTATCCACTGTAAGGGCGCGTCTCTCTCCCTCTCTCTCCCTCTTCCCCCTCCCCCCCCCCTCTCTCTCTCTCTCTCTCTCTTCGCCCGGGATGAACGACACACAGCATCTGTACCAGAGCACGATCGGTGATAACGAATGATGGAACACGAGAGGAACGTTTTTTCCCTCTTTTTACTACTCCTCTCCCTCTCCCCCCTCTCCCTTTCTCGCTCTCTCTCTCTCTCTCTTTCTCTCTCTCTCTCTCTCTCTCTCATTCGGTCTCTTTTTTCGTACGCTGCGTGAACTCCGCCACCGCGCTAGATCGATCGAATCTGTCGTGTTCGTCCAACTCGTCGTTAAAAAATCATTTTCCCCGCGTGTTGAAATCACCGATGAATAAAGACAAATGGTACTTTCAAAATTGGCAAAAGTTTCTCGAGCCTGATTAATTCGAGAGAGAATGTGTGTGTGTGTGTGTGTGTGTGTGTGTATGTATGTATGCTTGCCTGATTACAATATTAAGGTCTGGTATATTAGATTAATACGCGAAGTTGAACCGAGATCCCAGTCAGTTCGCACGAAGATCTGAATCTTAATTACGCGAGGAACAGAATGCCGCTCGCCGATAAGCCTAAATGTCCGTGGAATTCCAAATTTTGGGCCAAGCGGTTCCGATACCGCCGACAGAGAAGAGAAAGTCGAAGACACAATCGTGCAACAATCCGCAACAAAACGGCGGGATGAAAAAAAGGCATCCGGTAATCCCCAATTCCGAGGCATCCGGTATCTCCTTCCTCCATATCATTCCAATTTCCCGACGGCATTAATCCCAAGCCGCCTTGTAGCGCCTAACAAAAGATATCGCGGGCGTTTCTCCACTGCTACATTAATCATTCGCGATTACTCGCTAAAGAAAACACTCGAATCCCCCAGGAACCCCAACGTCGCGAAGCGATATCCCTACTTGACTGACAGGTCCAAGGAATCGGGTCAGTACGAGATCGAGTGGCCAGAGTACGATGACGTCAATCAGACATACTTCAACTTGAGTAAGTCCGCAAGAATTTCGCTTCGGTATAGCTTCGGTATAGCTTCTAGCGATAAAACCAAGAGAAATTCGCACCTGACATAATGAGCCTCGCTGGAAGCGTCGCCGCTTCCCTTGCTGCGACGTTTGAAATAATTGCGACGGCGCTGCAAATGACGTGAGATGCAAAGAAAGTCACTAATTAACCCTCAAATTAGAAATATTGAATATATCAAGCGTTGCTTTAATTTGAAAGGATACCCCACCTTCGACAAAGTCGAATCTCGCGCGTCTGATTGACGGTCGACTGAATGAATCGCCGCGCTGTGAGAAAATGATCGAGTCGTCGAAAAAAGCAGCGAATCACTATCGTCTCGCTTTAGTCTCGGGGAGAAGTCGCTTCATATACGCGAGAAATTACATGACCTGCGGTTTACTTGGAAGCAACGTCTTCCCTTGCATACAGCGATACCGCCCAACACAGGTGCGCATTACCGTTCGGCGGATATGCAGTTCTGGAATGAGGACCTACCCAATCTACTCAGGCACCCGAATAAAGAGATTTCGGGCCCGTCCCGACCGAGAGGGCCACGACCGCAGATTCTTGACTTCGCCGATGGGATTGGCAAATATGCTAACGGGAGCGGCAGTCGGAAGTACGCAACTTACGGGAGCGGCAGGTCGGTAACGAGAACGAGGCTAACTCAAATTTCATATTTTACGTGAGAGCAGTCGAAAACTCGCTTGCGCGATACATTGTTATCAATGCCCGGCGCCGCCGCACTTTGTCGTAGCCGGGGCTCCCGGCAACGCAAAGCGGGCAGGATGCTTCGGAATACGTATAGATTTATGTTAAGCGCGGGCCGGGAAAATTATCTTCGAGCAACTTGGACCGGTGCATTTGCCCAAGATATTTCAGCTTTCAGCTTATATGCTAATTCACTTGACTCCGCGTGCTCGGGGATCACGTTACGTTACATCGGTAGAGCCGTATTTTATTACCGACTGTATTTGCGATTGTACAGCGCTCCCTGCCGTTCGTGTTCGCCATTGATTGCGCGCCTTGTTCAAAACGCTCTTCCAACAGATACACCGTCCCGTCGAGCGTGACGGACTCGAACACGGAAAAATCACCATTCCCCATCGTGGCGACAACGAGCGTCGGTGGCACTCTCGCGGAGGAGGAGGAGGTGGCCACGGTGGAGCCGAGCACGCTGAACGCCTCGCTAATGATCATGGTGTTCACCTTCGTCGTGGTGTTCATACTGATAAACGTCACCGTTGTCTCACTGTACATCTACCACAAGAGGCAGAGCATGAGGGAGAAGGAGAAGTCGCTGAAGCGGCGATTCAGCGAGAAGAAGGACGACTCGGCCAGGAGGTCGAAAACCGACAAACACGACAATTGCGGCCAGATAGGCTACAAGAGCGACAGCAAGCCCGATTTGAACGACGTGATAAAGAACGACAAGGCTTACGACAATAACTCCAACTTTGGCCGAAGGTCGAAGCTGTCGCGACAGAACTCCAGCTCGACCATCGACACTCACATCAAAGTTAGAGAATGGATCCAACAGGAGATTGTGCATAGGTCAGTAAAATCTCGGACAATATTCAGCGTGATAAGTTAACTTCAATGCCACTTTCGACTCGCGGAATTTCCCCCGGCCAGCGTGAGATAAAGTTGGCTGAGAGCGCGATATTCTTGCTCGAGTTTCGATTTCCCCGCGCGTTTTCCCGCCGAATTAAATTATGCATGATTTATTAAATGCGAATAAATATTGTAAAACTGTCGATAATGCAAATTGAAAATCGACATGTTTTATTTATAGATTGGAATTATAACCAAACTCTTTAATCGCAGATTCCCGTCCGTTCCACGTTTGATGCAATTTCTTCATTTTAGGTAATTTATTATTACCCGGAGGCACGCGCATTTTTCCCAATTTTTTGTTGGATATTGAAATAAAAAATACCTATCACGCATGCGTGTCAAAGATGCCAAAGGTTGTAACGACAATTAGGTTTCTGTGTTCGAATGACACAGGACACGTCCGCGAGTTTCGGAGGAAACAAAGGGCCTGAACGCGCTTTGCGAATATTTTTACAAAGTATTGTCTTATTCTCTGACGCTATTTTATTGTGCGCCGCGGTGGTCAACGTTTTCCCGACTTTATTTCTACGTCTTTCCTAATTACGAAGAACTGAAGATACTCGGAGAACGCTTACCTTCGCAAATTTGTCGATCGCGAGCGGCGAGGGTTGGAAGGGCGACCGAGTAATCCAATTAGGGGTTCCGCTTAAAGAGTGGTTGCTTTGAGACGTGGCCCGTATCACTCAAATCAGAGAATTGAGTTCCCTTTTTCTCTTTCGCCCTCGAATATTTCGTTAGGTGTATTGACTCACGGAAGAGGTTAGTAAGTGCCGCGCCGCCAAATTAATTGAACTCGTTAGAGCGCGACTTCACCCCCTGTCGTTTAGCGAGAAATATGCCTGTCGCGGATAAGAAAATTGATCGTGCATGCGTCGGCCCGTGGATGGAAGAAGAACGGTAAACTGCAAAGTGCAATTCAACAATTTCATGCGATTCGCGCGATAACGAACGCCCCCGACTCGAAATTTGTTATTCGCACAAACGGTGCGTTCAATTTCTCTTTTCTCGGAAACGTTACCATTTATCTTGAAATTTCCAGGCGAAAACCTCCCTCCGAAATATTATTAAATGGCCTGTATTCGTTTTTTCACCTCATCGCGATACACGCGCGCGTGCACCGCGATATGCATTATTCGACGGTCTCTTTATGCGCGGCTATAACGCGTTATGGCGCATCATAAAGTCATAAACGCCAAGTTTGTTTAATTATACGTATGTATTATGAATATCATGTAAATAGATAAACGTGCACACTCATTAAACGAATGCATTTGCTATGATCATATTTTTTCCCTCGCCGGAGCACAGCGTGGGAGATCCCAAGTGATTAATTAGCCCGCGAGTCGGTGGTAAAAGTGCGACTGCAATGAAACCCCCCGCCGACCGTTATTGAGTCGCGAAATTAATATACATCTTTCATTCGTGAAATGCGTAAAACAGCAAGCTGGCTGAGCGACAGCCGGCCGGCCGGTCATTATGATCATATATTGACAATATTAATGATGTCCATTTCCGAATTTTACTCACGATGGTATCATTTAACGCAAAGCTACGATATCAACGCGAAATGCGCAAACAAAAGGTCGCCTCACGATATCAATCTGCAAAAAATGCGTGCGCGATCGAAGTTCCCTTTGTGCAAAGTTCTCTCGGTCGAGATCGATCTCAGCACTTCATCTCTCAATTTCGCCCTGCTCGTATAGGTGCTCGCCGAGGTTCCTGCGCAAGACGCGGGAGACTTTGCAGAAGGAGCATCAGGAGAAGCTGAGCAAGCAGCAGCAGGAAGAGAAACAACGCATGGAGCAAGAGGCCCTGAAAGAAAGGAAGGACGAGCCGATCTACGACGAGAGCCCGGCGCTGGTGGTGCGCCCTGGAAAAAAGTCCAAGCTGCCAAAAGTGTCCGTGGCGATCGACGCCACGCCAGCGACCAGGACAGAGTCTGTTCTGAACCAAGTGCCCATCGAGCTGACGAAAAGCATCGAGGCGGTGAACGAATACGAGCAGACCTTCAGCCAGGATCAGCGGATGGCTCCCCAAGTGGTCGTGATCGAGCATCATCACTCCAGGAGCGATCCTCTGCCGATGGAAAGTGTCCTGAAGACGGTGAAGCCGAACTTCTCCACTCCCAGGATTTATGAGTCTGACTCGGGCAGCGCGAGCAGCTTGTACGCCAAGATCAACCCGAAGTTGAAGTCTCGTCTACCTCGTCCCGGTCTAGGGACAAGCGCGGAAGTGCCGTTGGCAGAGCAAGCCAAATATGAAAACCCGCTCGACGAGGAAATCTACATGAAGACCGGGACGATCCTAACGACCTTTGGGACGGGCGACGTGAACGTCACGTGTCGGGAGCCGACCGCGGAGAGAGAGTGCATCAGTCCGGAGGAGGCCCTAAAGACCATCAAACGTCGAAATTATCCGAAGGTCTTGCCGGACATCGAGAAGAGACGATCACTGCCAGCACCGAGCAGCCTCTTCGTGCCGAAGCAGCACGCGAGCTTGTTAAGGGACTACAAGAGCGGCAATCGAGTCAACTTGTCCTCAAGCCAACCACCGTTACCACCTCCGCGAATATTCGGGCCATCCAAGAGCCTTGAGAAAGGCGCCTTCTTGGCCGAAGAGAGTGAGAGCCAGTGCGAAGGCGAGCCCATTACGACGAACTTGCACGTGGGGCCCTTACTGAGAAGACAAGACTCCGCCAAGAACAATTCCGACCCGAGCATAATAGATTCTCTAGAAGGAAGCAGAGCTGTCCAGGCCGGCGGAAGCGTGGACACCATTTACGCTAACCCCAAGTGTCCGCTTCACGGTCAATATCCCTTCTCGCCGACGTCGCAGAGCGTCGACAAGGACATCGGCAAACCTGCCGGCCTGCTCGAGGCGGGCAACCCCAATTGGTACAAACCGGTCGTGACCGAATCGCCAATCGTGGCGATGGTGTCGGTCGCGTCGGAGCCGCAAATCGTAATCAGCCGAGACGACAGGCTGCAGCTGGTGGCACCGGAAGCCGGGCTGCTGACGATGGAGCCGAGGATCGTCATCACACCGAGAATACTTAATCCATGTCAGGCCACTCAGAAGCCGAGTCTATCAGCGCGCTCCGACGACAAGATCGACCACGAGGCAAAGGCGGTCACTGAGCCAAGACGGAATGAGGGATCGTCGGAGGGCTTGGACAGTTGCGGCGGCGGCTCGTCCGCCAGGGAGACGGAGAGGAGGGAACCGCGGATCATCATCACGGCGCGGGAACCGAAGAACTGCGCCCCGGCGAGCAGTCTGAAACAGCCGAAGATCATCATAAAGCCGACGGCGAGTCTGTCGAGGAACAGGGATCAGAGGAATATACCGAAGGTGTCAGCCATACCATCGCCGGAACAGCAGAATTGCCAGAACAGCGAGCGGGACCGGGCGCTGGAGCTGAGGGAGAAGCCGCTCCTGAGGGAGAAGCCGAGGGTTACGAGGATCCCGTCGTTTTCGCGCAGGAGGGAGGAGTCCGGGATTGAAAAGCCATCGTACGTAGAGAAGACGGAAATCGTGCAGAGAGTGGAGGCGGTGCCCAGTAAAATCACGAACACGCCATCGACATCCGATGCCAAGTCGGGCATACCGACGCCAACGACGGTGGCGGCGGCGGCGGCGGCGGCGGCGGCGGCAGCGACAACGACGACGATGACGACGATGTCGACGACGACGACGACGTCGACGACGACGACGACGACGACGACGACGACGACGACGACAACGACGACACCGACGCTGCCGAAGAGCGAGAAGTCTGCCAGCACGGACTCCTCGTCCACCAGCAACGGGAATTCCAACAACTCCAATACCGGCACGATCAAGCGCAAGCCGGCGAATAAGAAATAATTGGCTCGGCTCGCATCTTACGTTTCGTCCTGTTTTGCGAATGTACACGGCCAGAGACGCTCGACCGTGTCTCCTTGCTGTGTCTCCTGGCCAAGCATCGATACGAGTCTCGCGCTGTGTGCTTCGCGAAATCGATAGCCTTTCGTCGAATTCTGGGAAAGCACGGCTGCTCGGGGGTACAATCTTGTCAGTAAATGAAATATTATTTTCCCTGATTGCGGATTGTGGCGCCGTGCAGTGCATTTCGACCGTACACTTTTGTACACGTGGCGGCAAGAGTTGATGTATATAATTACGGTATTGTTATTTACGATAATGGTGCACATGACCTGTCGAGGTAACATTTGAATGCTACTTCATTCGGAGCTCACGAGGGAACGGAGCGGAACGAATTTCGATGTTTCAAGGATTTCGCTGTAAATTATTTCCCCCCTCACGAGGAGCTCGCCGCTGCAATCGCGCGCCGACGCAATGAAAAATCCTTCATGAACGTAAAGGAGAAATTCTCCCTTCTTACGTAAATCTGTCCTTATTCAGATGGCGTAGAGCCCGTCAAGCGACGAAACTACCCTCCGTAGAGTTAGCGTTATTTATTATTGTCTCTTTTAGATGTACGTTGTAATGACATGCGCTGAAAATTGTCCGTACGCAAAACTTTCATCGTGATTTTTATCGCGATTACGTTATACTCTATTTTTCCACGACTAATTAAGACTACACGAGTACAACGTAGCTATTATACGTGATGTAAATAGCAATAACCGTTATTGTCCGAGACACCTTGAAGAGTCACATCACATCTCGTTAATTAAGGGCGAATTAAGGCAAACCATATCGCCTGTTCGTCGACTGTTAAGTTCGCTCTCGCGAGCGTCGCGTCGCGTCGATTGCTCTTGCACGATTTTAGATATTAGTAGACACGATCAGTTAAAATGTTAACCGACTAGAAGCCGATGATTTCTAAACGGCACCTGTGCGCTTTTTCTACGCGTGTATCTTTATACGAAGATGAGAATAAACGTTTTTCATACTTTTCCACCAGAGAATTCGGAATGATCTCATCTCTCATCCGCAATTCATCACATCTCTCCTACCCGTCTTTATCCTTCCCCCCCTCCCTCCCTCCCTCCCTCCCTCCATATATAAATGCCATATCTTATATCCCGCGACGTTACACGTGTTCTGCGTAAACTTTATTATTAAGCGAAGCGCGCGCGGACTCTGCAAGTCGTGCAGGTGCAGTGCGCAACGGCAAAGGGCGGGAGGGGGGATCAGGACAAAGTGGTCGGCGAGTTCTCACTTATATTACCGGCGGATCGAATTGATTCTCAAAGTTCGCGCGGTAATGGGATTCTCTTCGTCTGTAACCGCCGCGGCCGCCGCGCGGAGAGGAGAAGAGGCCATTTTTACTCCAGCCCTTCTTTCTCTCTCTCTCTCTCTTCCTCTCCCTCACGTTCCAATCAGTCTGCCGCTATATCCTTCCCTCCATCTCTATCGTTCTTCCCTCCTTGTGTTTTCGTTTCATCTCGTTCTACGTTAGCCGACTCGATCGCGCCGGGCTCGTCCGCTCTGATCAGGGCCGAGGGAGCGAAGAAAGATGGGACGAGTGTTTTGATGGCTTATGGAATTTTCATTCCGCGGCTTCCTGGCGAAATTCGAGCGCCCTCCGGCGAGACACGTCGACGGACACGCAGCGCGTCATTATGTATTTGCGACAATATCAAAGCGTTAACAGTGACGCAAATACGAAGTTGCGGAGAGGATTCTCCATTTCATACGCTAATTACGAGTCAACTCGCGCGGGCTTTTCCCCTTTTTTGCTGACCTTTGCTGAATAATTAATATAATTAATTAGCATATTAAATATAATAAATTAGCGTATTAAAATAACAAGCTGACGTTAAACTGCCGTATCGGGAGCAATGTATCGGTCGATGCAGCGACGCTCAAATTGACATCGATGTCACTCCGCGGTAATGTTGATAGAATGCGCATCTTCGTGTATCAGAAGGGGGGAGGGGAGGGGAGGAGGGAAAAACACTCGCATCGCGATTGACGCTCACATCGGCCAAGGATCTCGCGCTCTGCACCGAACTGTTCAACACACATCGCGGAGTTTGGTCGGGGCGTGCATAATTTACGTGGGAAAAGCCCATCAAGCCGGCGGGCTGAGCTGCGCAAGACATGTGCAATATGACAACGATAACTCGGTCGTGTCCTTGGAGTTGGAGACTGTATCGCCAAGTTAGCGTTTAGCTGCCAGTGTTGTCCCCTGCCTTATGTGACAGCGCGTAACCGGCACACATAGTCATCCACCGAGCACGACGAATGGGGAATCCTCGGCGCGCGTCTGCGTGACAGGCAGGTGTGTAGCGCCGCGTGACTCATTGTCGGTATAATGTACTATCAGAAGTAACGGAGGCAGAGACAAAAGCCGGATTCCGCCTTTGTAGAGTCCTCCGGCTCCTCTGGATTCCCAGCTCCGCTGGATTTCCTCAGAAACGGAACTTTCAGCGCGAGGACTGGATCTCGTCACGCAAGTCGCATGACGGATTGCTTTCGCGGTCAGCGGCTTTATCTCGTGAGAGAGAGAGAGAGAGAGAGAGAGAGAGAGAGAAAGCGAAAAAGAAAATTCGATACGGCCGCTCCTAAATCGAGAGCAAAAAATGTATGAGATGCCAGCGGCATTCGGTTATCCCGTCGAGAAGATGTTATCGAGGGAGAAGCGATGTTAAATTTAGCGAGCGCGGCTAATCGACGGGCGAAAGTGTTCCGCTCGAGTTCGTCGAAAGTACCGATGAACAATAAAATGCGGTTAATGCCGGTCATTTGGACGCACGGGGAGAGCTGGATTTTACCGCAATCACCGCGTACGTCGGATAGGTCGACTGTGCGATGCGAATAAAACTGATGTTAAGGACGAAACGTGGTGCCTTGAGCCAGCTCGTGGTTAAATTTCATAAGTCCGCAATCAGTCGCGTGCGTCGATGAGAGGGATAATTCTCCCGTCGTGATTATCTACGGCACACATGTATAATTATCGCAGTGATAATCAGCGATTAAGCACGAACCCGACGGGCAACCTCATTATTATGCTCGGGATAGCGTTGGAGGCGATGCGAATGCATAGGCGCATAATTTTGTCTTTCGTGTCTACCAATTAATAAATTTCCACCGGCTGGCCGCCCGCGGGACAAGGTCGCTCCGTCTATTTCCACTGGCGGCCATTGTTTCCAAGACAATGCCAGCTACTTGGCAGTTAGAATACATTGTGTTGCCCGCGAGAGGTGGTTACTGAATGCAATGTCGGATTAATTAGATTTCGAAACGAGTACAAGGGGCGACCCTAAGTAACTGTACTTCCCACTAACGAGCGATGCATCAGCAATGAACACTCGCGAGCAACTGCGCTCGAAGAAACGTCTCCGTGTGTCTCCATTGAGGCCGCGGTAAAAATTAAAAAAACGTCCAAGCACCGTGACAGGAATCCCGGAGGTCGAATAATTAAAGATACAACGGCCGAAAGATATCACGTATCAGAAAGTTGAAAAATCGGAGACCGGTAGAGCCGAAGGAAAGAAAACTCAAAGGTCCGAGGAAGAAAATGAAGTCGAGAAAGAGGTGAACGAGGAAGACGTGGACGAGAGAGAGAGAGAGAGAGAGAGAGAGAGAGAGAGAGAGACAGGGCTAAAGAAGACATCTCTAAATAGAAACTTAATCTGTCTCACCTCGAAATGGCTTTCTGATCCACGAGGAAACAATTCCTACGTCTGCACCTCGCCGCGTGTTTGACGCAGGGCCGCCTGACGTTTATTAAGTTTTTTATCAGATGGCTCTCCGCGTTTTCTGCGCCGTCTCTTCTCTCCCATTCAATGTATTTAATTAGCTCCTTTCGTTTCACGTCACTCGGACGAGAATCAGTTAAGTCGGTCGGCCTAGATAATTGATGCGGCAATATTCGGGGAGAGACACTCGACACGGGGACACATCGAGACTTGTTTTCTATTAATCCCTGAAAACGTCGGGCCTTTGAATTTTCCATTCGCTTTTTTCTCAAACTCGCGAAATTGCGATTCTACCTTGACGGCTGGAAATGGAAACGTTCGGTGGAATAATACGCCGGTTATCGAATCGATTGTTCAGAATTCTCCCAAGAACTGCCATTCGAGTTACACGACGCGGTTAAAAAGATGACAACGTTTTCCAGCGTAACTAACTGGGAACCAACACAGGCTCAATAATTTCTTATTAAGAAAGTTACGAAGGATAACTTCATTAATGTTTGTACTTGTTCGACAGGCGCCAGGGGCGATCGAAGTTGAAAATTGTCCGTCGTCGTGACAACACTCAATGGTAACTTGCGACAAACCAAATCCAATAAAAAGGATGCACGTCCGGCATAATATCGCGAGAGAAGACATGCATTTTTACAGTCTGACGGCGCAATTCCTTGCGTTATGCTTAAACTTAAATTAATATTACACCTGCCTCGAGTTTTTTTGTTTACTTCAATTTTAATATTCTTGGATCTCTATCCATATACTTTCGAAGCTTCTAAATTTCATCCTAACGTTTACACTCGCGAGAAGAAAATTCATAAGTCTAAAATTTCAAAGAGTTAACGAAGGATAAACTTTTCGACGACGTGCTCGTTGTGTGTAAGGCCGGGATTACGATGAACTTAACGTAACGGGACGCGACGGGACGTGAAGGAACACAAGACCTAAAACACATTGTTTTATATGCGGCTAGTTACGATCGATTTTACGTAACGTGACGTGAAATATCGAAACTTAACGCGACGTGAAGCTTGCTTGTGAATGTCAAGTTTAGATGTTACGTTCCGTCAAGTCGGACTGTTCATGTGACACTTTCAGTCAATCAACGTTATGCCAGGTTATACCCGTCACCTGAACCGTCACCAAACTGAATTCTTCTTCGAGAAATATCTCTCACACCAATGGTTCGTATTCGTTTCTTCTTCCACAGTTGAAGACACAAATACCCGGTCAAAATTAAATTTACAAATTGATAATGCCTCACAGCAGAATTCATTATTACGGCACGTTACGGTGATCGTAATATCAAATATAACCTCAAACGTCAAATTCACGTCACGTCACTTCACGTCCCGTCGCGTCCCGTTACGTGAAGTTCGCGCCCTAACTTTTCCGACCGTTGCCGCATCAATTGTTTAACCGTTTGAGTCCCAGGGGGTATTGAAAAAACACTGTCGAAGAATCCCAAATAGCGCAACCGCGCTTTCTATAAATGAGTATGAAAAGACCCAAGCAGCGCGATAGCGCTTGTTTTATTTTAGGTCGAGAAATACCAAGCAGCGCGATAGCGCTTTGTTTATTTTACATCGATGAATCCCAATCGGACCAATACCGCTTCTTGTATTTGTTAGGTAACGCGATTCTCGTCTTTTTCTCATCGCTCTGTCACATTTATTGTAGTTTGCAAAGCGATCGGACGTATTCTTGCGTAAGTGTTTCTCATTGTTAATAATTGTGTGTTTCAAAATGATTAGACGAAGCAACGGAGCAACGAAGCAAGAGGAATCCATCCAACATGTTTTGATAAACACCGATGTTACAAATTATAATTGTTACTCTCCATTTAAATTATTTGTTTATAACACAAAAATATTGTTAATTTGTAATTCGTTATTTTATAAAATACATCTGTATTATTACATATGCGTACTGTAAATTTATAAATATTTCAAGTTTTGTTCGATAAAAATTATTGAGAAGATAACAATGAAATAAAAATTTTTATTTTGTAATGTATTATTGCATTATTATAGTGTTATTCTACCTATTATAAAATGTACTATTTACATTAAAAGGATCGGTGTGATATACTTGCTTCAGTAAATCTGAGCGCGCGACTTCGACAATCGGTAACGCACCGTCAGTTGTCCACAATGATCGAAATGTACTGGGTTTTCTCGACATAAAATCTGAACAGCGCGATCGCGCTGCTTGGGACTCAAACGGTTAATCCGACGACCTAACCACATTTTTCTCCTG